TGAACTTCCTTCTCATAATGTGTCTCACTGGTTGTTAAAAATGATTTATAGCAACCGGAAGTCCTTGACAATGTCTGACCAAAACTACTTGAAATGTAGTGAGATTTGTAAGTGGGAAATTGCATTTTTATAAGAAAAGGACATTTGTTTTCTAGTTTTAGTTTAACTTATTCCTAGACATTATATGTTTTATAGCACTTTCTAATATTCTAAAAATGCTCATTTAGTTTAAAAATGCACAGAAATCAAAACTACAGTGACTGCTGCTTGCTGTCCAGCACCACCCAAAGAAAGGCAGGTCCTAAAACCCTGAGGCTGTGTCCTTTTCCTCCTTATTCACCGGATCCGGCACCACGCGGCTTCCGGCTCGTCCCCAGTCACCATGACCAGGAAAGGGAAACCTTTGGAATCAACTCCAGACATCGAGACACGCGCGACAGTGGCACAAAAAACACTCACAAAAGACAACTTCCAGAGTGACTGCAGAAAGTGGCAAGAGGGGAAGCATTCTGAGGGGACTAATGGCAATGTGTCTCTTACTATAATAAAAACTTAACAATATTTATGCTGCCTTTGAAACCTAGGTCTTCAGAGAATCAACTTGGAATCTGGACTCCTGAGTGGGGCTTGTGCTACTTATAATAGGCTTTTTAGTAATTCCCCTCCTTACGTAAGTGTAGATATTTATATCATGTGTAGTTACCTGTTTTCTTTAATTCTGGAAAATTTTCAACCATTATCTCTTTAAATTGTACTTGTCCACCAAACCCCTCTATTCTTTTCTCTTGGTAATCTATTCTTGCGCTTCTTAGGTTTCTTTCTTCCTTTTTTTGAGACAGGGTCTTGCTATGTAGCCCAGGCTGGCCTGGAACTCACGGTGATCCTCCTGGCTCAGCCTCCCAAGTACTGGGATTGCAGGTGTGCACCACCATGACTGGCTGACTTCCTTTCCATTCCTTTTCCTCTTTCTTTCTTTCTGTCTCTCTCTTTCTTTCTTTCTTTCTTTCTTTCTTTCTTTCTTTCTTTCTTTCTTTCTTTCTTTCTTTCCTACCTTTGTGAATACTTCGAGTTTAGCTTTAGAATCTAACATATTAATTCCTTTTCTGTGTAACATAGAGTCAATCTCAAATATGAAGACATTTTAATATTTCAGCTGTGTGTTTCTCATTGTCTCGATTTCTGAAATTATTTCACCTTGTGTTTGTGATCTTTATTTTGGTTGCTGTGTAAGTGCCCCTCACAGGCATACAACCTTTACATCACAGATCCTCCCTCGAAGACCCAGCCAGTAAGCCTGGTAGGTCCTATGGGTCACAAGGCCTTGGTACTGGGGTCTGCACTGGGGCAGCACCCACGGGCAACAGTGACCACGGTGAGCTCAGCACAGCTGGTTCATCAAAACCCTCTTTAAAGGTGGTGGTAGACGCCTGTAATCCCAGCACTTGGGAGGCTGAGGCAGGAGGATTTCCATGAGATCCAGGCCAGCCTGGGCTACACAGTGAGACCTTGTCTCAAAAAAAGGCCACTAACTGGAAGTGTCAGGGGTGGCAGCATCAGGGGGTTGAGAGTCCAGGAATTCCTGAGCAGCCAGGGGAACAGGGTGAGATCCCATTTCAAAGAAACAAACAACAGCATAGGTCACTGCAGGCTTTCAGGAAACAGCTGAGTGATGCTCAGGAATGGAATGAAGAGCTGCCGCCAGGCATGAGGAGACTGGAGGGCAGAGATTTCACAGTGTCGCCTCCACTGGGTGCTTCCCAGGTCCACACAGCCGGGTTTCAGCAGAAAGAATCAGAGTGTCTGGCACACCTGGTTAGCACAGATAAAATTTTTTCCTAGAAATACTGGATTGGAGGTAAGTGGGAATATTCAGGTGAAGGGGGTTACAGTTGTTGCAGATACAAAAAGATCAGGTTGAGATCAAAGCTGAACACATAGTTTTTAGGAATCACAGAAGTCAAAGAAAAAAAATATTTCTAATGGTAAAAACTTTCAAAGGAATATCACAAGCACAAGAGAATGATAAATTACTTGATTTTTTCCTCAGATTTCTACTCTTAATTTCTTCTTAATGCTACATTTAGCTAGGGTGTCCATTCCTATAATTGTAGGGTTTTATGGGTGCATTGAAGATTAATTTATTCATTTATTAAAAAATATTAATTATGCTCCTGGGGATTTTGAGATAAATAGTACATGTTCCTGGACCTTGAGAAATTAATAATTTAGCACAGAAACTGACTACATTTCCTCAACAAGTTGCCACTCCACTCTGACAAGCTCTGTCATGAACATAGGGACAAGCACTTCGAGGCACAGAGGAGGGAAGGAGTAATTTATTTGCCGTCATTCAGTAAAGAGACTTCACAGGAAGTAGGGTGTCATCACTACCGGAATTTCTGTAAGAGCCAGGCGAGGCCTAGTGGAATTAACTTATGTTTGTGAAGCAAACCATTTTTACTTGCACCATGGGTTATTGTGGGCACCTCTGGGAGCTAACGAAGACGGTGAAGGGCGATGTGCCCCTTCCGCTCCCCCCTGCTCCTGTCCCATGTCACAGACGAGAACAGAGGTTTTATCAAGGAATGCTAAGGTGCTCTGACAGGTTCCTCTCGTGACCGAAGATGGCAGGACCAGGCAACGTTAGGGAAGAATGAATAGAGGGCCCGGGCAGGATAAATAGTGACCAACTGGAGGATGAAAAGATGGCCCTCGGGTTGGCCTTCGAGACTCTCATAGGCTAAGGAGACTTCTTTTTCCACTTTTTTGGCAGCGAGAAAGATCTGGAATGCTGCAGAGTGTATTCACTATTAACAACTGGGATTATGAAATTGAGGAGAGAAAGAGTAGAACAAGAAAGACTAATCCATTGGCAAGATCCTTCCAGAGCTCAAGTGTGAGACAATAATTACTGCGCTGCACTGTCAGGGGAATGGGAAACACCACAAATGTCATTTCATTTGAAAAGCTACAACAGAGCAACGCTGCTAGTAATATTTTCCTGCAGGAGAGGCCTCCCTAGTTGAGATACAACTGTGCTGGAACTGTTAGCACTATGTTCCTGCTTCAGGGCTATGTTTTCAGAAAATGTAAGTACTTTTAAAATCTACTATACCAGAGATGAGCCATCTTCAAGTGGTGACTTAGGTCTTCAAAGAATTAATTTACTATTTTAGGCCCTTAAGTTATCACTTTGGTGGGGGGCTGAACCAGGGCCTTCACACTGAGCTATACCCTCAGCACTTCTTAATTTTCAACAGGGTCTTGCTAAGTCACTAAATTATCTAGGGTGGGCTCAAGCTTGTGGTCCTCCTGCTGCAGCCTTCTAGAGCGCTGGGATGTGCCAGGCGTGTGCCAACCCCCTCAGCTATCTTATCACTAATAACATGCAAACACTGTTTCATCCTAAAACAAAGCACATTTTATCTTTTAAGAAAAGAGACAAAGTCTTTCCCTCCAAAAAATGAATATACATTTTAATAAGATGAATCTCAGGTTGAATGGAAATATAGCTTTTGGATAAATTCTATGCCCCATGAAAAAGGAGGAATGCTGCACTGAATATTACTTCTTTATCGAAGAGTCGTAATATTTCTGCCCACCCAGTGACCACGTGCTAATGAGAGAGAACAGAGAATTGCTGGTTAGACGCTGCTACCCTGAAACAACCCACACACTGTACCAAAGACTCTTTTCCTAGCTCAAAAGTCAAAATTAGTTTTGTATCTCACCTGGCCCAGTGCAGGCACTGGGATGCTGATCCTCTACTGGGGGACGTCTCTGAAGTGACAACGTTCACTGAGCCTGACCAGCTTCGGCTGGGGTTGGGAGGCTGCTCTGCGATTTCACGCGTGGTCTCTCTGGACTCTGCCCGCCCTGCCCCTCTGTGCTGCGCTCTGGGCTTGGGTCTCTGGAGCTTAGGGAGGAGAAGCCCACTGGCCTCGCTAGGCAGAGCCTGTGTGGGGGTCTCACTACCCCGTGGCAGCGTGGCTGGCGCCCCCTTCCTAGGAGACCCCAACCTCTCAATAACCGGGCCGGCCGAGGAGGATTTGCAGGGGAGGAGTGCGGGGCAGCGGCACAGACCACCAGGCAGCGCGCCTCTGAGGCCGGAGCCCTGCTGGGGCCCTCGGGGCACACGCAGTCTGCTCGGGTCCCACCACTGTGACTGCCCACGAGGGAAGCTCGGGCGTGGCCCACGCCTGTGACTCAGTAACCGGGACTTTCAGACTCAGCCCGCAGCTGGCCCCAGCGTACCAACCAGGGCTGGACACACGGGAAGACAGACAGGCAGGAGGTGCGGAGAGCCGAGCGGAACACCCCGCCCAGCGTCACTCTCGTTTTCTGAGACAGGGTATCGCTGGGTAGCCCAGGCTGGCCTGGAACACATGGCGATCCTCCTGCCTCAGCCTCCTGAGTGCTGGGATTACATAAGTGTGCCACTAAGTCTGGTTCCCCTCCTTTATTTCTAAAAATAATTTCCAAAGTGCAAAGACACTCCCTTCCACGCCTGACATGAGAAAGGCCCGACTCATTCTCCCTGCGGGGCCAGCAGCCGATGCTAAGACCACGTCTGCCTTTGGTGCTCCCGGGAGCCTGCTCAGGTAGGCTCGAGCAGTGTGGACGGAGCCGTCGTCTCAAAAGCCAAGAGCAAGACACACTCAGCGCCGTCCGCACGGAAGAGCCGAGACCAGCAGCCGGCAGAGACCGGCTCGGGGACCTGGGAGTCCGCCTGCGAGCTGGGGCTGGGCAGGAGCAGCGGGCAGCGCCGTGACCAGCAGCCAGCTGTGGCCACTGCTGGCCTCGCGTTCCCTGGAGTCCGCTGGTGACAGCGGGGCCGCTGCAGAGCTGCGCTCGGCCGAGTCACGATTCCCATCTGAACCGAGCAGAAGAACCCCAGGCTGATGATGGGCAATGCCTTTTGAATTGTAATTAAAAACACCCAGTGCCATTTTCCAGGCTCGAAACACCCCTCTGCAGAGCACATCCAGCTCCTTGCGCACCTGCGCCGTTGGTCCGCCCTCTGAACACGTCGTCGTAGGCCTTCCACTGCGGCTTCACCTGGTAGGCGTGCACGAACACCACCAACACCACCACCAGGCAGGCCAGGGGCGCCAGGCCCGCCGCGAACAGCGCCGTGTACACGTTGGGGATGCAGCACCTGGAAGAGGGGGGGGAGCGCGCAGATGCTTAGTGAGGCTGACTTGCTGCCCGCTGCCCCTCCCTCCCTGCCTGCCTCCCCCTGAGCCCCTTCTCCTTTCTTCTACTCTCGGTCCTCCTGCCTCAGCTCCCCAAGTACTGGGATTTCAGCTGGCCGCCATGCCGAGCTCAAAGAAATATTCTCTAAATTCAGAATCCATCCCTTCACCAAGCTGCGCTACTTCTTTTTATCTGGATGTTGGCAAACCCACTGTTTGGTTTCCTACATCCGCGCTTGTTGAAGGCTGCAGGACGCAGTCTCCCCACTGCAGGGTCTGCGAAGGCTCAGACCTTAGAGAAGGTGCCGTTCAGACGCAAGTGCGCAGAGCACAGTGCGGCTCTCAGAGGCGCAGGGTACCCGGCAGGCGTTTAAAACGGCTCTGGGAGCCACAGAGGCAATGCGGGCATCCGGATGCTGCTGCTGCGGAGCGGAGCGGCACTGCGTCCCGGCGTTAACCCCGTGCGGGTCGGCTCTTCAACCTCTCTCCCCCCGCTCATCTCTAAGTAGGACCAGACTATGTACGGCAGAAGTTGAGGTGAAGAGCACCTGGATTCATCCTCAAGCACCAAGTGAGTTTTGTTTAACCCATCCTTTCTAGACTGAAATGACAAATGCACCCTGCCCTTTCTTTTACACGCACACGCACACACACGCACGCACACACACACACACAAGCACACTAGAGGACCAGTGTTCCCTGGACCATGCTTTGGGAATCACTGACTCGGTCGCGCCAAGCTCCTATTTCAGATTTCCTGCTGGGCCGTGGGCAGGGGTCCCAGGCCCTTCCTATCGCTCCCCTGGATGACGGAGGGAAGCAGCGGGCCTTAACTTTTGTCCTCACTGCGTCCTGTCAAGGCCTGTCGGGCCTGCGTCTGCATGGACCTCTCTGACCTCTCGGGTCCTCAGGGGGAAGGGCACAGAGCCGAGGCTGCGCCTGCACGGGGTGCCGGGCCTGTCCTCTGTCCTCCTTGCTCACTTCTTACTTTTCACCTCTCCCTCTTCCTTTTTCCCTGCCTTCCTCCTTCTCTGTCTCTCTCTTTCTGGGTTTTTCTTCCTGGGATGAGCCTACCATAGGAAATACGTGATGAAGGGTTGTGTAACTGTGAGGAGCGGAGAACAAAGCCTTTCTCTGCCTCAACTTTCCTGCTCCCTCTTCCTGGCCTACTCATCCCTGGGGAGCATACAGGGGGAGCACCCCTGACACACACGTCTGAGGATTCTCAGGGCCTTGCTCTGTCCCCTCCAGCATCTTGGCTTCTGGCTGACTGGATGGCAGTTTGATCATTCCTCAGCTGTATGCTTCCTCCAGGGCTTTCACTCTCTGGGACACGAAGGCAACTGTCCAGTGTGAAGCTACCCTGCATGACTGTACCTGTTACTCTCGGAGTTTAATGGAAACAGTAGGTCCCAACATGAACACATTAGGCATGAATGTTTGTATTCTGGTTACACTATGATTACCAGGAAAATGGTCTTAGAGATATAATCGAAACTTTTTACTCATAATGGATGCTTGTTCTTCACACAAAATCTTTTTTATGACAATCTCAAAATTGAAGGCTGTTGACAAGGTTGTCATTATCTAAAATGATGCTTTGAGGCAGGTACCCTTATGAAGGACATACTTTCTGAAAGTCATAAGACTATACTTTTAATTTCAAGAAACCTTAATAGCAAGGAGGATCTCATCTATTTTTCCTAATTTTCTCTCCATTCCTAAGAGTAAATCAAGGTTATAATAAAGCTGTAAATGCTGGACTTTGAAGAAAACTCAAGAAAGCGAACATATGAAAAGCACACATATAACCTGTTTAGGAGAAAACCTCAAAATCCAAAATCCAAGCAATTGGAGAAATCCCTGTTCTTGGAATTTGAGAAAATAGTGCCTTGATTTTTACATTGAGACACAGATATATTATGAAAGAACTTTGATCTGCTAAATGTAGCCCTTGTGTGAACAAGACACATCTTAAGAGATATTTCCAAACATACTCTGACCTGCAAAGGGCTGTCAGGGTGAATTTCTGCTTTTAGACTTTAATTCGGGGGACACGGGGAGGGAGCCCTTCTCTGTACACTCCTGTGTATGCAGTGCGACCCACTTCTTCTAGGTAAAGGCCCATGACAAAGGAAAACAGGCAAACATTAACAGTCTAATGTATTTCTGTAGGGACGACAGTTCTAGTATTGGCTACCATTAGTCATACACTGGCTTCAAATACTTGATTTTTTCATTTGAATGATGTATAATCGTGCTTAGATGAATTCAGATATAGATGAAGGAACACGTGTAGGTTTCGCAGTCTTAGTTTTTGCCTCAAAAAATGTCATCCCACATCAGTTCGGGGACAATTACTGAACCTGTCGTGACTTGCTGCAGGAGTATAAAGATTTCCTATAGTGCTAGGTCACGGGTGTGACTGTCCGCCACCCACACTCCTGTGGTAACCATTAGAGACTTCTCAGCTGCCCGCTGGAAGGACTTCCTAGAAATTCCCTTTGTCTTAGAGAAGGATCCTTGAAAGCAGAACCCCAGCTAATGATGCCCCATCTTGCTTAAGAATAGAACAGGCAGAGCAGAGCCCTGGAGGGTAGAAACAAGCTACTGGCTCCTAGGAATCTCCTTTTCGATTCTCCTTGTTTGCCTGATGGCTGATTCTTGCAGGAAAAACAGCTGTCTCCTTTTCTGTTTCTTGAGACCTGTAAGTTATGACCTCTCATGGGCAGTGGCCCTGAACCGAGAGTGTCCTTGGTTATCACCCACCCGTCAGTGTGTGGTGGGTCACTGGGAGGCCTGAGTCCCACAGCACACTGCCCCTGCCTCTCAGGCAGCACCCCCTGCCCTGACCTGAGGCGCTGCAGGTCCCTGCCCCTTGCACACACCTGGCCAGGTGTGACCTCATCCATAGCCCTCAAACACAATGACTTTCAAGGGTGAGGGAGTCCAGCAACACTTGCAAAACACATTTTCAGATAAGTGGGACCACAGGGTAAGCTCCAGGTCCAGGGGAGAAGCCAGTTGTCTAAGGTGGTAGCCCCAGGTCCAGGGGAAGCCACTATGGAGAGCTCTCCTGATGCCATTCAGGCCACGGAAAGTAGACAGCACAGTCTATGCCACTGCAGCATTCCCAAGTCAGAGCTCATGCTCTAAACACCTTCTTGTTTTCAATTCCCACTGAGTTTTTCCTTTATAGCCACCAGGAATTATTCTAATTTTCTGAGCAGTCTTTTCTGACTGAGATTTCTAAGGTACATAATAAAATTGACCACATATATTTAAAGATGCCTAGAAAAATGAACTATATCCTATTTTTCTTTTTGGGGGGGCTCACTAATCAGAATTCCCTCCAGTCCAACCAAAGGACAGGTTTGTATCCAAGGAGTTTGAGGTCTGGATCACAGGAAAGTGAGGTGGGCTGTTAGGAAACTGTGAGTAACATTTGAGAATAGTTTCTGAACTAAGGCTGGGAACAAATTCTTGGAAAAACTGATTGTAGGAAATGAGCAGCCTGAATGCTATGTGCACAGCGGGCTGTGGAAGGAGTTGGTTGACCGCTGGCAGCCACCCTTCCAGGGTAGACCTGGCCGACAGGGAGCAGAAGGCCCCGTGGACGCGCTTTCTCTACAGGGCGAGGAGAGTGTGTCCCTTAGAATTCCCAGCCTGCCAGGCCTCCGGATCCAGGAGAGCCTTCCCCTGCGGTTGGACCTGCTGAGGGTTTTGTAATCACATGACTAACTTGTTCCCTTTCCTACTTTCGTGGGTAATTGTTTTTTCTTGTATTACAGACAGTCTGCATGTTTCCAAATCTTGTCAGGAGTCATTATTTTCTCTATTTTTAGCCAGATGCAACTAACAGATGCTGGTTCATTCCTTGTTTTCCTTCTTTCAAGCCTTCCTCGCAGCATTCTCGATACCCTAGGTCATCGTCTTGTTTAGTAAGCCTGTGCCCTCCCCTTCTACTTTCTGACATGTCAGCCCTTGCACTTCCTAACTGGATGTCTATGAAAAGGTATGGGGTGTTTCAGTTTCTTCATTCCTCTGTGACACCAGCCTGAGACGGAGCCCAGAATCAAGGTGTGGAGGAGAGCAGAGCTCCACCTGAGCGCTGCAAACGCCTGGTTGGATGTGCACAACCCGACCGCACACAAGGCTGTGACTTGAGGTCATTTAAGCTTTATTTAAGGGACAAGGTGACCCTGGCAGGCTTGAAGAGGGCTGGTGGCCGACTTCTGGGTAGAGAGGTGATGACAAAGAGGACACAGGTAGCGGAGCAGGAATGCATGCTTGTTGCCAAGGTCTTCTCTGTGAATCTGTCTCCGTGAGTTGACCCTAACAGCTCCACCTTCCCTGGACTGCATTTTAGGTGTCTCCACCCAGGGCTGTACTCACTGCTTCAACGGACAGGGCGGTGTCTTCTCTGCCGGCTCAGTCCCTAATTTACTCTGGCGAGCAATGAGATGGCAATGAGATTCTATAAATCATTTCATGTCATGCAGTGAAAGTCAGTGTCCCTGGCGTACAGTCCAATGTGTCTGCTCCTTGGCTTTATTAGTCGAAGGATACAGATGTTACTCATTATGTAGATGCTTATCATTCATAAACAAAGCCTAAGCCAATACTTACGATTTCAGTATTTTTTTGCTTGTGTGCCCAACTTTGTTTCCAAAGATGATACTCTTATTTAACACACATTTTTAGTCACCTGTGAATTTATGTGCATGTATTGTTGTGCATGTATGTATTTCTTGGCCCATCCAGAATAGAAGCAGCAGCTTAGAGAAGTACTTTAAACACACTGACTTTTTTTTTCTTTAGTATTTGGGGTTGAAGCCAGGCCGTCACACTGACCTACATCCCTAACCTTTCTTTATCGTGAGACAAGGTCTCACTAAGTCACTAATTTGCCCAGATGGGGCTTGAATTTGAGACCCCCTGCCTCAGTTTCCCAGAGTGCTGG